CTAACTGGGAAAGTCAGAAGATCCAGAACACCAAGAGGGGGTGAGGTGCACTAATCAAATCTGAAGTGCAAAGGATACCTGATATAAACAAGAACCAGCACACATCTTGAGCAGGACATGACTATTAGGTAAAGGAATATATGAACAATTCACCAAAACCTTAATTGAGCTTCGTTAAAATCAAGTTTTTTCTTTGCGGTAGACATTCTTTAGAGAAGGGGAACACGGCAGCACATCCTAGTACTGAGGTGGCAAAAACACCAACATCAAGAATTCAATGCAGCAAGACCCAACCAACCTCTCCCCCTTCCCCCCTCCCCTCCCCAACAAAGACAGGAAGAGATAGGGAGAAAATATATAAAACTCATCTGATGAGGGATTATTCTCTATGATAAACAAAGAACACTTAAAATTTAACAGTAAGAGAATTAATTTAATTAAGAAAAGGGGCTAGCAATGGTAGTGTCCAAGTTTAAGACTAGCAATTGAGGCATAGAGTCAAGGGAAGTGGCTTCACCCACTGAGCCATCTCACCAACACTCAGGACTACGTTTTGAGGAAAAACTCAAGAGAAGGCAATTAATTATACACACCACAATATAAAATCCACACACGGCAATCCCTGCTTTAATTCTTAGCAGAATCCAATCATTCTTATCAAATCCTATGAATTAAATGTAAAATGCGTCACATTCAAATGTTCCTTCCATACATTAAAGAATTGTGGCGGGGCTGGACTTGGTGTTGCACACACCTTTAATCCAGCTATGAGGAGACAGAGGCAGATGGATCTCAATGAATTTCAGGACAGACTGGTCTAACAGTGAGTTTCAGGTGAGCCAGAGGTACATAGTGAGATTCTGCCTAAAAAAAACAAAAAGCACACCAAACCAAACCAACTAAAGAAAAACAAAACAAAAACCCAACCAAAACCAAGAAGAACCAGAAGAATTCCATACTCGCAGCCCCTCCAGCTTGTCACACTCTCTACTTTCTGAGCAGTCTCCATTTCGTTCATCCTTCAGAGTCTTCAGGAACTCGCTCTTCCTATCCGTGGTTCGTCGGGTCAATTTGGTCAGACGAGAGGAGCCGATCTCAATCGGAGGGGTAGAACTGGAGGGACTCTGTGCAAACAGCACAAACGGATTGCTCCTATCAGCAAATCACAGTTATGTAAAAGCATTGGCTATTCTTTGAAAGGGCCCAGATTCAATTCTTACAACCTACTGGGCAGCTCACAATGTTCTTTAACTCAAGGGTTCTGAGACATATACATGCAGACAAAACACCCACATATATAAAGCAACAACAAAAACCACGCACAAACCAGTTCATTTAAAAACATCGGTTTTGTAGAATTTTTAGAATACAGAGTCCTGGTTTCTATGACACACCTATTTTCACCCCTCTGCAGAAAGCAGGGGAACACCAACTATACTTTACTGCACTTAGACCATCGAGTGACTGCCTATTTGATGCCTATGAAAGACATCAATAAAGACGGTAATCAGGTAAGTATAGTCACAACAGAAACGGTGTTTGTTGTACTTATACTTTACACTGCAAACCTTAATGCAAGTCAACAGAAAAGTCTAAGATTGTGTGTGTGAGTGCGTTGAGACCTGCTGCCCTGCCCAGCTAGGAATTTACAATACCCTTGCCTCAGGCTGTACTGTCATTTAGGCATGCACAACCACACAGAGCTGAGAATGACAACTTAAATAAAATTGTTCTTTTATAATTTTGTAAGAAATAGTTGGGCTGAAAAGATGGCTCATCAGTTCAGAGTACTGGCTGCTTTTCTACAGAATCTGGGTTCAGTTCCAGGCAATCACATAAATCTTGTAACTTCCTGAAACTCCAGATGCAGGCAATTTGACACCCTCTTCTTACCTCCACAGTAACCAAAAAATCATGGGGTACATGGGTACATATATACATCCAGGTAAAAACACATGTACACATTTAATCTTTTAAAGGTGGGGGGAATGCCAACTTTTTGAGGGCACATGTGACTCAGTGGACAAAGTGATCACCTACCATAAATGGAGCCCTGGGTTTGATCCCCAGAACTGTATAAAATTGGGCATAAGATAGGTGTATGTACCTGTGAGCTGGAGACACAGGATTAGACATGGAAGGTCATCTTCATGGGCTAAATAAGGGCAGTATTTAAAAACGCTGCCCTGCAGTTATCCTCACTTACCTCTTTGGGAGAGTTGAGAACTGCACCAGCGGCTAGTACCACTGGTTTAGTAACAGAAATTGGATTGGTAAAAGCAGACTCCCGGCTAGAGCAAAGTGATCCAGATTTGTGTTCCATTCGGTTAGCTTTCCATGCATTGGGCTATATAGGAATAAAGAACATATCAGTCAAAAGCAATATATACACAGGAGCTTAGCTTGCAAAATCAAAGTGTGAAATGTTATGTAAGAATGAAAGTTCCCAGAATTTACTTGTTAACATGCATGTAATCTTTCTGAGTTTAGACAGATGGGGAACAGACAGGCCATGAGCTGTGCTTAGTAGGTTCAGCTTTCTTTACCATGCTAGTTCTCAAAGCATTTAATTGCACGTGAAGCAAAATTTCCACTCATTTAGAACCGCTGACACCTCTGTAATTATTGTGTGAGAGAGTGATAATTAATTTCCACAAAACATATCAGAAAAAAAAATGTAGTTTTCTAGAGATTTTAATAGTGCTAGGCTGCTCGGCTAGTCTCATGCTAGGATGCATACTGTAAATGGCACACAGTCCTTGATTACATCCAAAGCCCTTCTTTGGCTCAGGTTTGTGGGATCTGGTCATGGCTATAATAGCTATAGTAAAGGTGGAATGAATACTCCATTATTTTAGTCAGTCACACTGTCTAAAGAGATGAAAGAAGGCTGAGCGTGGTGGTCATATCTTTAATCACAGCACTTGGGCAAATCTTTTTGAGTTCAAGGCCAAAGGCCAGCATGATCCACAGAGGGAACTCGAGTTCCAGGGCTGTTACACAGAGGAACCTTGTATTAAAAAACAAAGAGACCGCCGGGCAGTGGTGGCGCACGCCTTTAATCCCAGCACTTGGGAGGCAGAGACAAGCGGATTTCTGAGTTCGAGGCCAGCCTGGTCTACAGAGTGAGTTCCAAGACAGCTAGGGCTATACAGAGAAACCCTGTCTCGAAAAACCAAAAAAAACAAAAAAAACAAAAAAAACAAAAAAACAAAGAGACCAAAGAAGATGATAGAGGTCAACAGAGTGGAACAGAAGTAAGTGCAAAACTACTTACTTCCCAAAACAAAAGGAAGACTTACAGGAAAGAGTTTCTATGAAAAGAACTCCTTTCCATGATGCAGTACATGCTCTTACCCACCTTCCTAATGTTTAATTCTTAAGACAATCATATGTGATTATGTCTATTTTTAGCAAATAATATTGAGTACAATACAGTTATACAATTTATTCACTATTACTCAGCTAACGAGCATAAGTGTTTTTTATTGAAAACAAAAAACAAAACAAAAAAACTTTCCTAAGTCTCAAAAAAGATGTATAAGAAGCTAGAGACATTTACCCAATCAGAATGAAGAACTGTGTATTTTCTGTTTGTTATATATGCATGTGCAGCAAGTGTGTGCCTGGTGTCCAAACAAGTCAGAAAGTCTCTAGATACCCTGAAATTGGAATTATGGATGACTGTGAGCTACCATGTAGAACACGGATTTGAGCCCAGGTCTTCTGTAAGAACAATGATTACTTTTAACTACTGAACCATGTTTTCAGACCCAGATTTTTTTTCTTACACTTTTGGAAAAGAAAAGATGCTTGTGTTCAGTCACTCATCAAAGGTAATTTGTGATTGTGTCTCAGAATTATAGCATGCCATCAGAAAACCTGCCTTTACACTGCTGCCTCTGGGCAAAGCAACATTGTTACAGTGCTAAAGAAGTTTTACTGACAGGCCTGCATGTCATGCATAAAACATGACTGGGACTGCAGAGATGTCTCAGTGCTCACGGTGGGTTGAATAGGTATGGTTCCCATAGACGGCTGTGTTTAAATTCTTGTCTCATAAGGTATTAGGTGGTGTAGTGTTCTCCTGAGGTCTCCTATGCTAAGCAATGCCCAGTGTGGCACACAGTCTCCTTCTGCTGCCTGTGGATAAAGATGTAGAACTCCCAGCTCCTTCTCTAGCATCATGTCTGCCTGAATGTTGCCATTGTTCCCACCATGATAATAGACTAAATTTCTGAAATTGTAAGCCATTACATTTTTCCTTTATTTATTTATTTGTTTATTTATTTATTTTTTCGAAACAGGGTTTCTCTGTGTAGCCCTGGCTGTCCTGAACTCACTCTATAGACCAGGCTGGCCTCAAACTCAGAAATCTGCCTGCCTCTGCCTCCCAAGTGCTGGGATTAAACATTTTTTTTTCCTTTTTAAGCGCTGCCTTGATCATGTTGTCTCTTACAGCAATAAAACCCTAGCTAAGATAGTGATTAAGACTACTGGCTGGTCATCCACGGGACCCAGGGTTCTATCCTCAGCACCATACAGAGGCTTACAATAATCTATTAATTCCAGTTCCTGGTGATCTGGCCCCTATACAACCAGACATGCAGGTGATGCTCTGAAATACAGGCAAAATACTCTTTTATAAACAAAGCAGAAACATTTCTACTTCATCTAGTGTTCAGTGAATATGAACACAGTAGGATAGATAACTGTCCTATGTCTGGTCCTACCATGCCTCAGATGGGAGGTATGAAGCTCATTCTGGCTTGAAATTTGTTATCTTCCGCCTTAGCTACACTAAATACTGTAAGTAGTTCCCTGTCTTATAATTTTTTATTATATGATTACTAAGTAAAAACTCATCAAAATGAGTTTAATTTTATTATCAAACATGGTTTTCAGGTTTCTGCATGGAAAGGGATCTACTAGAGAGCTTTATCCTGAGAAATTGTATTTTTTTTCTCTTAAAGTATTCTTTTGTATCATTCAACTTCTGTTTATTCTCTTTCATTTATGAGCTCAATAGTTAAGCCAGAGGCAAGAAGTCAAGCAGAAGTGTTTTCTCAGTCAGTGATCAGGTATTGTGGGCTCACAGGTGCTAACGCCTACTTTCTGGTATTTACATTTAATCTAGTCTTATAAAACTTCTATTTCACACACAAAAACCCCAAAAACTTTTGCCCTTATATCAAAAGGTCAACTTTTAAAACACACTATGCAGAATGACATAATGTTTACTACTAAGAATAGTAATAAGTCTCAATATTACCTTGTCCTTTAAAAAATATTATCTTCATGTGTGTGTGTGTACATCCAATGCAGATGGAACTTAGTATTCAAAGACCAGTATTCTCTTACCTTTAAAAATATTACTATTTTCACTGTGTTCATATATGTACACAAATGCACATGGAATTCAGTACAACTTGTGGCAGTCAGTTATCTTCTCGGAACATATGGGTTCCAGGGATCAAACTCAGTTTCTCAGTCATGATGACAAGTGCCTTTACCTACTCAGCCAAACCATTCTTTTATCTTTTCCTTGGTGAACTTCATTAGAAAAACTAGTATGAGTAACTAGTCAGTTTCAATTGCCAAAATTATATAAACATGTAAAACTATGCCTCTATTCAACTGCTTTCCATACTGAAGGTCTGTCTTCTCCACTCCTTCCCACATGAAGTCAGATTTAATCACATTTAACTTTAAATATGAAATACTCTGCCTTCATTTTGGGATAATGACTAATAAACTGTTTTTATTTTATATTTTTTTCACCAGTCTCTGTGGGTGGTGTACACGCACACATCCATGTTTGTATGTGGGCAGATGAGTATGTAAGTGGAAGCTCATAATCAATACTGGGAACTGCTCTGGATTACTCCTCCCCTTAACTCAATGAGGGGTGGGTTCTGTCAGTTTAACTCAA